ATTGAGGCTTTCTACTCCTGTAAGAAGTTACAGTCTCAGAGAAACGAGGGGCAGTTCTACAACATCCTATAGGCTTGATGGGAGTCAGAATTGATTTGATGGCAATGAGTTTTGTTTAGTTTGGAATACAGGTGCTAGGAGTGCTGGTGGCCTAGTGGTTTTGTGTTGGCTGCTTAACAGCAAGGTGAGTAGTTCAAAACCAGCAACTACTCCATGGGAGAAAGACGAGACTTTCTTCTCTTATAGAGTTACAGACTTGGAAATCCACAGTGGCAGTTCTACCCTCTCTGATAGGGTCACTATGAGTCAGAATTGACTCAATGACAGTGAGTTATTTGAGAAAATAGGTGCTGTAAGTCTTAACCTCTATCCCTCTGGTTATAATTCTATGTGGGAATGGGTTAATGTATATACTGGAATATAAGCTGACCCGAATATCAGCCGAGGCACCTAATTTTACCACAAAAACTGCATTTTAAATGTGCTGAAAAACTCGGCTTATACACGAGTATATATGGTAATTTCATTATGTTTACGAGGCAAGACTAATGTAGGTTGTATCTGGAATCAAATGCCCATATAAGATATGAAAGAGATTAAAACAAACAAGTGAGAGGCCAAGATAGGAGACTGATGCCAAGTCACACGGAGATCTCCAAGGAACCAAGAAACAAATGGCAGAAACAAGGGCTTTCCCCCAGAGCCAGCAGTCAGAGAAAGCTTTTTCCAAGAGCTAGCGCCCTGAACTGGAAGCTCTAACATCTTCATTTGTGAGGAAAGTATTTTTTGTGTGTAAGAGCCATCCATTTGTAAGATGTGTTATAGCAACACTAATTCCCTAAGGCACACTCCAAATAAACAATTGAGATAGAGGGTAAGTAAAAAGTATTGCTGCAAAATCATAGATCCCTTTACTAGATTCTCAACATGAGAAGCTATTGTTTCCCAGCATATCCCCATCTAGATGTACATGCTTCTGAAAGTGGTTTCCATCTCTCCAGCCCCTCCACAAATAATTCTGCACACTTCCATTAGTGCCACATCAAACTAGCAGTTTTGGCATCCTTCAGAGACTCAAACTGTGCACCTTGGAGATGTTCGGTGAAAGTTTGGGAACAAAGAAGTCTGAAGGGGCAAGATCAGGGCTACAGAGGGGATGAGGGAAGGCTTTCTAACACTATTCTTATAGAGTAGTCCTTGCTATTCTAGAATAAGCAGGTGCACTGCTGTGACTTTTTTTTTTTTTAATTAGGTGCAACTTTCCCAGTCTTTTTCTTAAAACAGCTTTCAGTGTTCTCACAACTTCTTCCAAATAAGCCCCCAGGACTGTCCCAGTGTTCTTCAAGAAAACCTAACAAGATTACCTTTTTGAGTCCCCACAGTCACCATAACCTTCTGAGATAAAGGTCTTGCATTGAACTAGCCCAGGAGATCCTCTCTGAAGCTACTGTTCTGATTGGACTTTTTTTTAAGGTACCCTAACGAGACTAAGACAATTGTATTTCTGAGAGAATTTGTCTGCAGCCAGCCACTGGCTAGAGACGTGTTTAAACACATTTTGTTTGGAATAAACGTGTGCACTGAAACCCTAGTAGCAATATTTGTTATGTACTCTTACATGTATATAGTGGGGGGGGGGTTCCTTTTAAAGATAGGTTGAGGATTACTGCTAGGGCTCGAGTAGCGTTAAAATTAAAATCAGGGTTAAGACTAAGGCTTATTTTATCTTTAGGATAAGGGATGGAGTTGGGGTTGGGTTTGGGGATAAGATTAAGGCTAGTGATAAGTATAGTTAGCTTATCTAAGGGGCTAATAGCAAAGGCAGTATTTAAGGACAGAGCTACACTTCCAGTATCACACTATGATTAACATTCCATGTATTGGTGCGAGATTAGTTAAAATTAGAAAGGATAATCCAGAAAGAGGCTCTTACATATATGGTCACCTGGTTTATATCAAAAGGCCCATTGTTGGTTTGTTTTGCTTTTCGATATATGAAATCCAGGATGGGTAGAGGTAGAGAGTGACTGCATTGATGGTTTCTTGAGGATTAAGGCACAGAAGATTGGCAGAAGGAGGGAAGCTGATGACAATAGGTACAAGAAAGAACTAAATGTTCTCAAGTTGATGGTGGAGATGATTATACAGCTCTTGATATGACTGAACTATTGAACTGTATATGTGAGATATATGCCAATAAAACAAACCAAAAGGTCTACTGCAACTCAATGGGGGGAAGAATATTCGTTTCAGTAAAAGATGCTAGGCCAATTGGATAGTCATATAGAAAATAAATAACTTTAAACTCCTCCACCACATGGTATATGTAAATCTGGTGTGTATATATATATATGATATATATCAGGTATAAACATGAAAGTTAAAACAATCAAGTTTTCAGAAGAAAACAGTATCTTCATGATATTGGTGAGGCAAAGATTCTTAAACAATATTCAGAATACATGGATACAATGCATTTAACTAAAATTATTTCTGTTCACCAAAAGACCATTAAAAGTAAAAAGCAATCCATAGATCAGGAAATGATACTTACAATGCACATTTCCAACAAAGGATTCATAGAATATACATTTTAAAAAAGAAAAAGATAGACAAACCAATTTTAAAATAGGTAAACGATTTGAACAGGCTCTTTAAAACAGGGAATAGTGAATAAGCTTAAGAAAGTGTTCAACATAATTCATCTAAAAAATGCAAATTGAATGGCATATTATGATTATATACTCAGGAAATGGCTACAATTAGGACTGATACCAACTTTTGGAAAAGTTCTCATATATTGTTGGTGGAGTATAAACTGGTAAAACCACTTTAGAAAACTGTTTGTGAGTATCTACCCTATAACCTGTGATCCAGCAATTGCACTTCTCCATATTTATCCGAGTATACCAAAGGGAATGAGTGCATGTGTACAATGAAAAATGGATACAAACATGTTCATGTCAACTTTATTCACAATACCACACTAGAAAGTCCCCAAATTTCCATCAACAGAATGGGTTAATAAATTGTGGTGTAGTTATGCAATGGACTACTACTACACAGAAGGGACAAATGAGCTGCTGCTACATATATGGATGAATTTCTTAGACACGCTGACTTAAGAAGACAGAGAACTGCATATTGTATTATTACATTGAGGTGAAGTTCAAATACTGGCAAAACTTAAGTCATGGTAATAAAGAGAATGGTGGTTATCTGTGTGAGTGAAAGGCATTCAGGGCACCCACTGGAGTGCTGGAGATGCCCAACATATTAATCTGGGTGGTGGCTTCTGAATATATAGAAACGTTTACTGAGGTGAACAGTTAAGAGTTACATACTTTACTGAATGTTGTTTTAGCTCAAAAAAGAAAATATAATAAACAATAGACTTGTCATCTTCTGAGTGTTTTTGGAGTGTATTTCTCCACTGCCTAGAGCTGCATGTGGCTGAGATCATTTGCTTGTTCAATGAAATTGCTTTGAAGACGTAAGTGACTTGCCATACATTTTCTTTGCCAAAGTGAGCAGCCATACCCCAGATAGCATCTACTTTGTTGCCTAGGTTCCAGAATGAGGGCAATTTAGAGCAAGGATCCACAAACTTCCTCTGTAAAAGGTCAGATATTAAATATTTTAAGCTTGTGGTCTATCAAGGCTGTTTTAATGACTGAGCTGGGCTGTACTAGTGCAATCACAGCAGCAGACAGTAGTTGGATGGACAGGGCTGTATTCTGAGACAACTTTATTTATAAAAACAGGAAGTAGAATCGATTTTGCCAATGGGCTATTGCTAGTTTGTCAACTTCTGATCTAGAGCAAAGCCCCTAGCCAACTGATAATAAACACATTGTGTGCGATACTGAGATTTTGTAGTTGTTACCACATGACAACCACAACCCTGATACAGAAATTTGTTCCATTCAAAAAAGAAAAATGAAACTTTTGAGTATTTTGTTGGCAGACATTCAGTAAATTATTATGAGTGGTAGAATTTCCAAAATTATTATGGGCGGCGAATTTCCAAAATGGCATCCTCCAGCCACACACAAGTGTTAGATCTTTACCGGGCCATGCTGAGAGAGAGCAAGCATTTCAGCGCCTACAATTACAGAACATATGCTATCAGAAGGATAAGAGATGCCTTCAGAGAAAATAAAAATGTAAAAGATCCTATAGAAATTCAAACCTTAGTGAATAAGGCCAAAAGAGACCTGGGAATAATTCGTCTCGACAGGTTGCTATCAGCCAACCGTATTCCACAGACAAGCTAATCATTGAGAACCAAGAGGAATCCTGGACCTGAGGAGCCTGGACCAGCCCCCTGGCAGCCATGGACCACCTTCAGCATCCATTCTATACTTGGGGTGGGACCTCGGCCAACCATGCGTGGCCTTGCACACCAGCTGAAAGTATCCTCTCCCTCTGCCTGCCCCTTAAGAGCTGATGATGGAGCAGCCTTCCCATTCCTTTGCAGCCTTTGTGAAAAGGATGACCCTATCTCCCTGGTTCGCATGCTGGAATGCAGACCTGGAGCTCATGCCGATTATTGTGCTGTGTGTTCCTGTGCCTCCTCCCACTTTACCCCCATTTTGTAGAGCATTTCCACTTGTATAGAGCCTTTCCTTCCTGTGCTTCTTGGTCCCGGACAATAAACAAAATTGTCTCCCTATGCAAAACAAACAAACAAACAAACATATACAGTGGCAATCCATGCTCCAGTGGCATTACTATCCCTTCAGAAAACTTAAGACAAATGGATTTATCATTTACTTAAGTTTTTAAAAACCTGTTATTTGTGGTTTGTTATTGTCTACATTTGACAGGAAATGTCCAGAGACAAACTCAGAAAATAATTGGTCCATTTGCAAGCAAAAATGATAGGGAATAGAGTGCTCATAAATTCAAGTATTAATAGGGTAGAAAGAAAATATTTCTCCATTACATATAGTAAGAAAAAATGGGACCCGGGTCCGGGCTGCGGAGCGGTCCCCGCTCTGGGCTGCCGCAATGGAACTCAGCGCCGAGTACCTCCGGGAGAAGCTACAGCGAGAGCTGGAAGCGGTGCACGTGGAGGTGGAGGACAGGACTCCCAACCGTTGCTCGGCCAGCTTCCGAGTCCTGGTGGTGTCCTCCAAGTTTGAGGGGAAACCGCTGCTACAGAGACACCGGCTGGTGAATGCCTGCCTCGCGGAAGAGCTTCAGCACATCCATGCCTTTGAGCAGAAGACCCTGACCCCATGAGCAATGGACCCGTGACGGCAGAAATGACGGGCAACCCCGCACCCCCACCCCACCCCCGCGCAGCCATTAAACGTACATCTGGACCAGCAAAAACCAAAAAAAAAATTTTAAATGAGTTCTTTAACCCAAGTTGATTAAAACCCAGGTTTACAAAGATCACATCACTAGATGACAACTGTATCTATTAAAACTTCTAAATTGGGTTAAGTTGCTTCAGACCAGAAGTTCAACTAAGAGTGCAAGCTCTAAGAAATCTGTTGGCCTGGATAAATAACTCAAGAGAAAAAAAACTAAAGGTGTAGTTTTCCTATCCAAGCATGAAAGGCACCAGGTATGTAGAAAGCGCAGAGGCAAGGGAACAAACAAGCAAACAAGAAATCCAAGAAATCCCACTTGATTAGATGTGATTTGGGGCCGCCTCCTTTGGGGAAGCGATGGTGGCATTCTTCAGGGGGGATGGCAAGCCAATGAGGTAACAAGTCATCACAAGATAAAATTCTAAAACCAAAACCAAAAGAATCAAACTCATTGCCATCGAGTTGATTCCATCCAACTCATAGTGACTCTATAGGGGAGGGTAGAACTGTGTTTCTGAGACTACAACTCTTTCCAGAAGAAAGCCTCTTTCTCCTGCAGCGCAGCTGGTGGTTTCAAACCACTGAACTTGTGGTTAGGCATGCGGTGCATAACCCACTCTATCACCAGGTCTTTTCTTACCCTTATATTTCAGAAAAGCAAATAATTATAAGTAGCACATAAACAGTCTGCCATTTTCTCCTAAGTTTGATGCTTGCAAAAGGAAAAAAAAAAGGTATTCATTCTTAAGCAGCAAAGCTTTTCTGGGGCTCAGTGTAACTTTTTAAAAATCATTTTATTAGGGGCTCATACAACTCTTATCACAATCCAGACATACATCAATGGTGTAAAGCACATTTGTACATTCATTGCCCTCATCATTCTCAAAACATTTCCTCTCCACTTAAGGCCCCGGCATTAGGTCCTCGTTTTTCCCTTCCCTCCCCACTCCCCCCTCCCTCATGAGCCCTTGATAATTTATAAATTATTATTTTGTCATATCTTGCCCTATCCGATGTCTCCCTTCACCCACTTTTCGGTTGTCCGTCCTCCAGGGAGGAGGTCACATATAGTTCCTTATAATCGGTTCCCTCTTTCCAACCCACTCTCCCTCTACCCTCCCAGTATCGCCACTCACACCACTGGTCCTGTAGGGCTCATCCGACCTGGGTTCCCTGTAGTTCCAGTTCAGTGCAACTTTTAAGTCATTCTCTTAATTCACTAGTTGCCCAGGCTTTCTCATCTATGTGTACATTGCTTCAGAAATTAAAAACAAAATCTGTATCAGAGGTGAATACTTATGACAGTGAATCTATGCCCATATACCTGGGTTTGAATCCTAGTTTCACCAATTATGTTTACTAAGGCAAACTGCAATGTGTCTGTTTCAACATTCACATATTTGAACCAAATGTCAAATTTTCTAGGAAATTTAGGTCAGTTGACACAAAGAACTTAATTTCTTACCTCATACTAATACGGGTTATTTCAGTGAGCAGTGTTAAGGCACAGCCACTACGAAGGTCAAATCAGACTGTGAAAGGGCTTCAGAGATCATAAAACACTACACAAATATTTATTCATCCAAACGTTTTATTGAAATGTCAGGCATTGTGCGAAGCGCTGGACATTTAACAGTTAGCAAGGCATTTATATGGCCCCTGCCATCAGAAAGCTTACAATCTAGCAGTGATCAATAAGCAGTAACAATAAAGTGTGCCGAGTGTATGGCTGGGAAAGAACAAGGTATTCAGGGAACAGATAGAAAGGGCATCAAAGGCTTCATAGAGAACTGAAAGACGAATAGAAGTATATGCCTGCCCTAAGAGCAAGGGTGGCTTCAGCGGAGTGAGACCAACAGCTCGACCTTTTGGAACACCTGGCTGGCAGCAGCATAGAAAGGGATCAAATGCAGATACAGGGAGACTAGTGAGGAGCTGTTGTCACTTAGGTCGGTTGATGGCCTGGATTAGGCTGGTGGCACCAGAATTGAGAGAAATTTAGAAAGCAGGGTAACAGAAAGGGCTTTATGACTCAATGTAAGGAACAAACAGGGAAAAGTTATAGATGATTCCGTTTCTGACTTGGGCAAGGGCAAGTGAACGAATGGTAGTACCATTTATTGGAAGAGGGAACATGAGGAACAGCAGATTTGGAGGCAAGATCTATCTGTAGGCTGAGGTGCCTATGAGGCAGCAAAGTGTACTTGTTAAGTTAGTAGTTGACAATATGAACCAGGAAAGGTCTAGGAAAAAAAGAAATGCATTCAGTAGTCATTAGCATGTCTGCGTCAACCAAAGACATGGAAGGAGATGAGTTCTGCTAGGGAGATGATGTAGGAATGAGAAGAGAGTTTACAACCAAGTAGAGTCCCGAGGAACACAGATTTCAGGGAAAGGTGCCAGCAGAGAAAACTGAGAAAGCATACCCGGGGATGGCACTTCCCCAAAGCAAAAGGAAGCAAGTATTTCAAAAAAGGGTAGTCAATGGTGTCAAAGGAGGGCTAAGAACATATTAACAAGGATTTAGTAACCTTAGTAGAGCAGCTTGACTGGACAGACAGGCGACTTGGGAGCACAGATAAACCTTTCAAGAAAGCTAGGAGAGATGAAAGTTACAAGGCATTTTTACTATATTCACTGATATAACAGGACCAGTAACAAGTATTTTAATTAAATAAAGATTTAAAGACTGCCATGCAGTTAATGAATTACGTAGTACAGATAACAGTAAAATATACACATTTTCCCCCCTAAACAAACAAGACTAGTTTATAGCAAATTCTCTATGGAGGGTCAATTTTCAATCCTTCGATTATCTCCTACCCCCCTTTCATCAGTGACTATACAATGCAAACTAATTTTATTATTACCTCACGTGAAACATGTACTGGAACTTCACAAATGTACAACACTTCAATATTTGACAAACTGGGGCCAGAAAGCAGAAGCAGCTTTCGGGTCTTTCAAGTAACAAAGCCTTTGCCTTAAAAAATGAACACTCAAAAAAAAAAAGAACACTCAAAGCTACTGGGAAATCACTGGTAGAGTCTTTACTATGTTGTATTTCTAGATATTTACACTTTCACCATTAACCAAATTCTCAGCTTTACCATTCTTGGTAATTATCTTGGTAAAATATTTTTCTGCCCTCCACAAATTATACCAGAATAAAATCTTTTAAACATAATTCAGTATCAATTACTGATTTATGTAATTACAGGCTACTGGAGCCTGTTAAGGCCTTTACTGCACCTTATTAATCATGTTAAGGCCTTTACTGCACCTTATTAATCAAACTCAGAATTTTGAAGTTAGTCTCTAGTAAGTATTGATACTTGCTCTTCTAATTTTATTTCTACCAGTAATTTGCCCCATCCCTCAAAATAAGCTCATTTCCATTGGGGCCTACTGGCATTTTGGAAGGGCTAATTCTTCTTTGTGCCAGGCTGTACTATGCACTAAGAGGGAGCTTCAAGCTTATGTGCCAGGAGGAATCCCCCAGTAATTATGACAAACAAATAGCCAAACAAAAATTTCTACATTTCCCCCAACATCCTCTGGAGAGAGGGTTACTGCCTGTTTGAGAACCACTGACACACCTTTGAGTCTTGGGGTTCTTGTGGCATGTATTTTGACTGCTCCGGCACTAGTTCCTTCTAGATTCTTAGTTGTATTTGCTTTAATTTGCTAGAGTAGTGATCAGAGAATAAAGTGCTGCAAGAGTTACGACAGAACTTGTGCACAAGTTTTCAAATTGTACTTGAAAGAGCTGTGTGCAAGTTGGGTCTTGTTTTTAAAATCGATTTTACATATTCGGCTTTCTGGCAAATTTTCTCTTCCAGTTAACATAAGCTTGAAAAAAACATCACCAATAAACTTAAAAAAAAAAAAAATTTGTCTTAACACGAAGATGTTGGAACTAGAAATATGGCACTGCTGTAATCTGTGGCCAAGGCTGCTTCTTGGGTGTTAAGGATTTCTTTTTGTGCACTGTCTTAAATAAAACTGTGGGACAGTTTCAATTTCACAACAAACCCACTTCCAGAAGCTGCCAACATCTAACATTACCTCACTTTAAAATAAAGGGTTTCCTTCCTTTAAGCAGGTTTCCTTTATAAAGCAGTACTATCTGGATCCTGAAGATGCCAACACCTTTTGTCCAAAATCCTTTTGGACAGAGGTAACCTTCTGTCTAGAACAGAACGAATTACAAACTACAACAGTTCTATACTTACCATAATCCTGTAACAGGCAGCTGAAGAAGTAGCCTGCAATTTAATGCTTAGTCTGAACTCCAGGACACAAGAAGCCTCATAAATTAGCAACTTAAAAATAATTCTTCCTCCTCTAAAATTCTATTGAATTATTTTGCCTATTACTAATAACACTGAGACTAATTGGGGAGGGAGGGAAATGAGAAGGAAGAAATAAAGATTTACTTTGGACTCAAAAAGGTTAAAAAATGAGTCCCACACACTGCTGATGGTGAAGACAAAATGCTTCCACTGTTGAGTTCTTCCCTTCTGGAACATTTTGAACTCGCTACATAAGTTCCTGCAAACCGGCTCAAATATACATTTAAACAGTTGACCATTTCAAACTTTGTTTAAAGTAAGAGCTAACATTTTTGGCTTATCTTCAGAACACCTTAAATACAGACTTCTGACTGAATTCACATCAGTACCAAACTTCCATCATAAAAGCAAAAGACAATGACTCTTATCATTAAACTGAATTTAAGGAGGTGGTATTCTCAAATTTCAGTCCCTTGCTGCTTTTGAGATTGAAAGAAAAGGCAACTGTTAATTGAATGAGTCCTGACCAATCTGGACATCATCTAATAAACCTGGTGTTTTCCCACACCGGGTTTCTTAGTCTAAATTAGTAAACTTGGAAACTCAAACCAATTTTTGCTTTTGAATTGAATTCTTTCTGAGTTTTTCAAAGGCTTATGGATTCGGTTCATTTCTTCCTCTCATAAGGTCATCCCAGTGGGGCTCCATTTCAGTTGTGGCAATACGAAACAGGGCTTGGAGATGCTCATCCGTCAAGGGCCGGCTCAAAGTATGTTGATTCTGAGTCAAGTATGAAAAAGCCTTTTCACAGATTTGGTTACTATCAAACAACGATGCCACCTTACAGGCAACCCCTTTGATAATTGGGTAAGATTCAGCAGACAATCCAGCATAGAACTGCCCCAATTCTTTGACTCTGTATTCATTCCAAAGGTTAGTATTTGCCTGAAGTTTTGTTAGCTCCACCCTTACTGATATTGGTGCGTATTCGGCTTTAAAGTTAAATGGATTTGCGAAAAGTTCCAAGTCCTTTTTAATGTACCGAAGGTCCTTGAAATGTCTCTCAAATTCCTTTAGTAAGCGACAGATCACCACTTGATACCTGTCGGGATCAAATATTTTTTGGTCACCTTTCAAGTGCCGTTTAAGCTCATCAACAACTTCTCTGAAAGCAGCAAAGTGTGTGAGATTTTTTTCCTCAATGTGTCTCTGAAGTAAATTCAGCTTAACTTCGAAGGTACAGATATGGTCAAAAGCAGCAGCTGCAAAGACTTTCGTAACTCGCAGTTGTTCACTGAGTTCTCGAAGGTGGTTCATAATATCCACCAAGAAGCCAAAGTCACATAGCCACTGCTTGTCCGTGAAATGGACTGTGGTGGCTCCTATGGAGACCAAGAACGCCTCGATCTCTTTTCTCAGGGAAAATATTAATTTTAAAGTTTTCCCTTTTCTAAGCCAGTTGTTCAGACACCGTCCATTAACCCTTTCACCATGTTCTGATTCAGATTCCGCTAGTAAAGCCTGAAACTCGGGTCGTCTAACGCCTCTGGTCTTAATCAAGACGATCCATTCGGATAAGGTATTTATGATCTGATTGACGTCGACGTCGTAGGAGCTCAGCAGTTCCAAGTGAAGAAATCCTGAATAATGGATAACATTCCAACAGTTGGGGCTCACAGCCTTTTCTCTCATATAGGAGACCAATCCTGAGTTCTCGCCAATCATCCTCAATGTATGGGTTGTGGTCAGTCCAACCATTCGCTGCAAGCTCAGCCCGGCGGTCTGCAGGGCTTCCAGGATTGCCGCCATCAGCGCACCGACGCTGAAGTGGTGCGTCAGATTGACGATGGTCAGCAGCTCTTCGTGCACCTCCAAATCATGGCCCACGCCACGGAGAAAGACCAGGAGGTAGTTCTCATAGGCCACAAAAGCTTGGTCATCCAAGGCCAGGGAATAGGCTTTGAAGTCCCTGGCTTGGCTAAATAGCTGACTGCGTAGGTTTCTGTTAATGTTCAGGAGCCTCTGGCCTGTGACTTCGGGAGTTAAATCGATACTCTCCAGGACGCCTACGTGCTCGGGCAGCACCTCTCTCAGCATCACTTCCAAGCACTGGTATACGAAGTCCCCCTCGCCCCAGCCTCGACCCCGCAAGGCCAAGAGGCGGGTGATCCCCAGGCCTGCGCGAGCCGCCCTCTCCTCCTGAGTGAGCTGGGCGACCACCGGCACGTCGCCGTGACGCAGACGCTCCACCAGGGCCGTGCGCTCGCCCTCCGCCACATACCGATCGTAGTACTCGTGCTCGGCCTCGTAGTGGCGTCGGACATCGCGTTCGCGGGTGGCTACGATGAGGCGGCGACAGACTAGGCACTGGGCCCCGTTACCTTCCGGAGGCTCTACCACCAAATAACGCTGGGTCCACTCGGGCCGGAAAACTCGAGACTCGTCAACTTCCATCCTGTTCCTCTTGGGCGTCATCCACATTTCACGGGAGGCTACAGGAGCAGGGTCAACCTCAGGGAGGCTGCAAGAAGAGGGGCGGCACAGAGCCTGAGCAGCCTCCTCAGCTCTGCGCCAAAGCGCCTCGGCGGGAGGGAGGGGGGGAAGGGAGGAATACCCGTCTCCGGCTGTCGCCTTCTATTGGCTGGAGATTTCGTCTGCCCTGTAGCTGCGGGAAACTGACCAATAGAAAGAGCTGACAGTATTGTATCACGCAACCACAGACCCTGTCTGTTATTGGTCAGCAGCCGCTTCAGGGCGGGACGAAGAAACGCACGCTCTTACGAGCCTTGATTAGCATTCAAGCCGTCCAATCAACAGTTCCGCAAATCTCAGGCGGCGCGGCCTCTGAAGGGTAGAGCAAGATGGCACGGCGTTGGTGGGAGGGCGTGCGTCAGAGACACTCAGGTGATTGGTGGAAGGCACTTCCGGTGAGCGGCCCCAACGTCAATTGAGCTCCACTGGCGCCAAAATGTCGCTCGTGACGGGAGTTATCCGCCGGCTAGACGAAACAGTGGTGAACCGCATCGCGGCGGGAGAGGTTATCCAGCGGCCCGCTAATGCCATCAAGGAGATGATTGAGAATTGGTATGGAGGAAGTCGGGCTAGACTCCCTTAGAGGATGCTCCTTAACGGGCCGCTGCTCGGGAGTGCGTGTGCACGCCTCCTTGCTCCGGACGGAGCCGCGTACCGCGCATGCGCACAGCGCCCCGAGGGCCAGTTCCTGGGCCCCGGGTGCTTTGGCGTTCTCGCGAGAGATTCGTTCTAGACTTGTATGTGGTGCAGAGGGGAGGCTACAAATAATATGTTTTAAAAATGGAGCCCAGGAGCTCTGGTGGCGTAGTGTTTACGCTTCGGGCTACTAACCGAAAGACCTCGGAAACCCACAGGGGCAGTTCTACTCTGCTGTAGGGTCGCTCTGCAGTAAGACGAGGCTGCTACTCCTGTAAGCGTCTTTCGTTAAAAACCAAGAGAGTTCATTTGAAACGATGTATGTGAAGGTTCAAACCCAAATAAAGCTTTGTTGTTAGATGCCCCCAGTCGTGCCGACTGTTAGCGGGCACATGCGCAACAAAACGACACGCTGCCATGTTTAAGCCCACTCTTGCACTGCGGTCATCGCGACAGCCCGTGTCTAGGCCAGTTCCTTTCTCACTACCTTACCAAGCATGATGTCCTTTTCGAGGGACTGGCCTCGCCTGAGAGCATGTCCTGAATACGGGGGAGAAGGTTCTCCATACTCGCTTCTATCTACGAAACATTCTCGCTGCACTGCTCAAAGACAGATTTACATGTTCTGTCAGTAATACTGTCAGTATTCTTTGCCAACGCCATCATTCAAATGCATCAATTCTTCTTTAGTATTCCTTAGTCATTGTCCAGCTTTCATGTATATACGAGATGATTAAAAAATACTACCCTCAAAGGGTCAGGCGTGCGGCATCTTAGTCCTTAAAGTGAAATATCCTTGCTTTTCAATACTTTAAAGAGGTCTTCTGAAGCAGATTGCCCAATGCAATATGTTGTTTGCCGTCTTTACTGCTGTTTCCATGAGCATGGATTGTGGAACTGAGCAAGATAAAAAGCCTTGACAATGTCAGTCTTTTCTCTGTTAACATGATGCTACCTATTGTCCAATTGTGAGGATTTGGGTTTCTTTACATTGAGTTGCAAGCCGTACTGAAGGCTGACAGACAAATGGTGTGTATAAAAGCTTATGCTGGGGAAAAAACAAACAACAAAAACCCCTTCTTCCTCTTTCAGAGGATAGCTTATCAGTTTCTTGTTTATCATTCTGGAATCATTAGTACACACACCAGTTTTATTCAAAATCGCCTGGGTTTTAAGGACAAGTTGGTAATTTCTCTATTGTCAAATTAGTAACCCTTCTTAGTGTTTTCCTGCTGCTTACTTCTTGGGGGCCACTCAGAAGATGTTGGATTTTCTATGTATCTTCTAGATTCTGACACTTGTAATTGTCATGCTGTGGAGGGAAGAAATGAAAACTATGTGGCAAGAAAGGTGGCTGTGAACTATTAAAAAAAGATACCCAATAATATGAGTATACCTAAACATTGTCCGATCATTTGCCTTAAACTTATTTATTTTTTAAACAAAAGGGAAGAAATTTATTGGAGCCCATACAGGAAACCCTAGAGGGGCCCAGCATACCCTACTGTGTAGGCATGCCCAACAAAGTGTAACACCATTCACTGTACCCCCATGTCCCAGAGGGACTCCCCTGACCCGAGCCCCAAAGCCCCAGGACTGGCTGGGGGAGGGAACGACCTTAAACTTACTTAATAAAGTCTGTATATTTAAACAACTGCTCTGCACAATGGCAGATATATGGAGGAATTTATTGTGAAAACGTAAGTTGCTCAGGGCAGTGGGACTTGAAAGAGCTGTGTGTCAGAGATAAGGAAGGGAAAGAAAGAGGTTTTGACGAAAGTAGGAGCAAAGAATCTGGGAGCATTTTCTCCAGTGGGTCAGCAGTTCAAACCCAGCACAGGCTCCCACCACCTGCAGGAGGAGAGGGGCTGCACCCATTCACAACCATGGAAACCCAGTATAATGTCATGAAAAATGGGGATCAACGACATGGTAGTGGATTCGGCTTGGTTTGGTTTTGTTTATAAAGACTGGCATTTGTTTTGACACTATTAGAAATGACTGACAGAACTACTGGATTTACTGTTGTACTGTGGTCAGAATAAAACTACTCACTGCCCTTGAGTCGATACTTAGAGCAGCCGTGTAGGACAGGGCAGAACTGCCCCTGTGGGTTTCCAAGACTGTAACTGTTAACAGGAATAAAAAAGTCCTGTTCGCCCATAACAAGATGCGGATTGCATCCCAATGCATAACCACTACGCCATCGGGACTCCTGTATCACAAAACTAAACATATTAGTTCCATGGCTTACAATTCTGTAAGCAGCGATTTCGTTTGGAGTCTGATCATTCTCTATTGAATATGCTATCAATCAAGGTGACTAATATAATTGCAGTTATTGGCTCCCTGATGGTGTAATGGTTACACATTGAGCTGCAATTCTCAAGGCCAGCAGTTCAAAACCACCAGCCGCTCCACAGGAGAAAGACAGGGCTTTCTACTCTCTTAAAGAGTACAGGGCCGCATCTAGCTCAGAA